TGACAATGAACGATATGTCATTAAGTGTAAGAAACAAGACTGCAGTTTCAAGTGCAGAGCTTCCTTGAGAAAAAGGAACTCAAAATGGGTGATCGGTAAGCTGTTTGGGTGATCGGTAAGCTCAGTTCAGAAATGGTTAGCCATAGTATCAGAGAACTTGTCAACAGTGACACCTCACTTAAGGTAAAGGTGATCATTGCCCATATTCTTGAAAAATACGGGTACATTATATCTTACAGGAAAGCATGGATCGCTAAGTGCAAGGCGGTAGAGTCGCTTTATGGAAATTGGGAAACATCTTACAACGACCTACCGCAATGGATACTGGTAATGAAAACCTTCCTTCCAGGAACCGTTATAGATTTGCAAACCCTACCTGCGATATCAAGTGATGGTTCCCAAATCTTTGGAAAATGAATATTTCATCGTCTGTTTTGGGCATTTCGTCCGTGTATACGTGGCTTCGCCTACTGTAAGCCTATTGTGCAAGTAGACAGAACTTAGTTGTATGGCAAGTACAGAGGAACTCTATTGATGGCGGTGGCACAGGATGGCAACGCAAATATTTTCCCAATAGCATTCGCATTGGTCGAAGGTGAAACAAAGGAAGCATGAAGCTTTTTTCTGAGGAACCTGAGATTACACGTGACACCACAGCCTAATTTGTGTCTAATATCTGATAGACATGAATCTATAAAGAGTGCATACAACAATCCCGAAAACGGATGGCAACATCCATCATCTTCACATGTCTACTGCATAAGACACATTGCTCAGAACTTCATGCGCGAGATTAAGGACAAAGATCTACGCAGAAAACTTGTTAACATGGGTAACCAAATACATTTCAGTTATCTCAAGTTTTGTACCACACTTTTATCATTTTTTTTCACACAATTTCTGTTACAGGTTACGCATTGACGGAGGCTAGATTTAATTACTATCGCGGAGAAATCAGAAGAATAAACATTGAGGCTTCAAATTGGATAGACAACATTCCTAGGGAGAAGTGGGCTAGAGCATTTGACGGAGGGCAACGTTAGGGACATATGACATCTAACTTGGCAGAGGCCATAAACTCTGTACTAAAGGCAACCAGAAACCTTCCAATCACTGCATTGGTCCAGTCTATATACTATCGAATGGGTTCACTCTTTGGTAAACGAGGACACAAATGGACCAAAATGCTATCTTCATGCCAAGTTTTCACAGATGGTTGTAACAAGGGAATGGCTGATGAGGTAGCCAAGGCTAACACACACGACGTCATGCAATTTGATTGTGAAAGATTCTGTTTCATGGTGCAGGAAAAGATTAATTACAACGATGGTCATCCAACGGGTACTTTCAGCGTTGACTTGAGGAATCGTTTCTGTGACTGTGGAAAATTTCAAGCATTTCACTTGCCTTGCTCCCACGTGATAGCGGCATGTGCTAGCATACGACAGGACTACACAATTCACATTCCAGAGGTCTTCACAGTTCTTAACGTATTCAAGGTCTACAAGGAAAGCTTCCTGGGACTACCGCACGAGAAGAACTGGCCAAAATATGAAGGTTTTACTCTGTGCCACGACGATTCCATGAGAAGAAATAAAAAGGGGCGTCCAAAAAGTAGTAGAATTAGAACTGAGATGGACGACGAAGAAAAAGAGAAGAGAAGGTGTGGGATTTGCAGAGAAATATGTCATATGCGTAGAAAGTGTCCCAATGTTGCCGGTCCGTCAAACCGACCGAATAGATAATTTGATTGTACTACTTTTGTATGTGATCCATCAATTATTTTTAATTCAAAACAACTTTCAAATTACAACAATACCAGTGAACTACAAACATAAAGTGGATTCGTGACTCCACAAACTCAAAAATAAAACTCATGAAGCTAACATAAACTCTAACCAACAACAACGACCAACACAAGTGGATTTGTGACTCCTCTGTTGACTTCGCCACTATGTGCTAAAAACATGCAATACGCTTATTTATAAATCGGATAAGTTGACACAAATGATATTTGCTGATGCGCAATACGCTTATTTATAAATAAAAAATTACGTTTGAGCTCGGTCATTCAATGACCGAGACTCTTTAAAAAATTACGTCAACATTTTAATATTTAAAATTAAAATTGTTAATAACATTTTAATAATTAAAATTAACTATTTAACATTTTAGTAAATCATTAAATAATTAAAATCTGAAATTGTTATTAACATTATCCTTTTAATAATTAAACTTAAAATTATTAATAATATTATTATTAATTATTAATTATATAATTTATTAATTATTAATTATATAGTTTTCATATTTATCAAAATATTTAAATAATTTAACTATTTAAAATTAAAAAAGTATTAATATTAAAATCTTTAAATAATTAAAATAAAAAAAATAAAATAAAAATGAACTACACACGCTCGTCCATTCATTGGACGAGCCCACAAAGCCCAACATGCGCAACTCAAGCTCGCCCATTCATTGGACGAACCTGCACCCCCTAAATTTCTTTCTGCACTAACTCGGCCATTTATTGGACGAACTTGTTTAAAACTGGAGCACATTCGTAAATATTTTTGAAAGTAGAACATTATGGAAAAAACCTACTATCTAACCTCTGCACCTGCTTTCCTCATATCTTGGAAAAGTTTATATTACCTCTATATCTATATTAAATTAAATGTTGTTTAAATTTTTATATAGTGATTAAAAAATTCAATGATACTATAATAGAATAATATTTTTAAATTGAAAAGTCGGAATGAAAAGTATTTTTAAATAAATAAAATAACATCATTTTGAAACGATGAGAGAGTATCTTAATAATTCATTTTTCTTGGAAATATAAAATGACTTATTTAAACATCAAGAATGTCATCAACTCTATGTCATCAACTCTGGAGTTCTACTGGGAAAGAGTCATTAGCTCTAGATATCCAGCCAAAAAAGAATGTCATGGTATGTCGGATAATTAGCATAATATCATTAAAATTGTCAAATTTAAATAATTATATAGTTTTGTGTTCATAATTTAAATAGTATTTTCCTAGAGTGGTGATAGAGAGATGTCTATACGGATTTAGAGGACGATTGATTTGATTGATTCGGACAGACAGACTCTATGCTACAAAGGTCCACAGTACTAGGCGTAACAAACAAATAGTGCACAACGAGAAGTTCATGACCATAGTACTAGACGTAACAAACAAATAGTGCACAATAAGAAGTTCATCGATCATGGATGGTATGATTAAGCGAAGAATAAGAACCTGAATTTCACATATCTTTTGGAACCTGGGCGGAGTTGAATTATTATGCCTGATGTTTTATTTTGTTGATGTATGTGATATGGAGCATGAGGTGTAAGGAAGTGATTTATTATGTTAGGCTGATATAAAGTTTTATAAGTTTTTGTGATTAAGTTAGGGTTTTTTTTGGATGTATTACAATTTGAATAAGAAGTATGATATTGTACTAATGTTCTGCTTATTGTTTAAAATGTTAAATGTTTATGTTTAGTATAAGGTTTATCAAATCATTACATAAGATGGTATTTAAAAACATGACAGAATTTTAAAATTTTGTGTCAAATGAAAAGGGTTTGATGCAGGATCTTGAAATATTGAAATATGCAATATGGTTATAATATTGGGTTCTATGACTTAAGAGCGTAATTAGGTAAAACTGATGTTAAGATGAGAAACAATAATGATAGAATAGGAGAAACAATTATGCAATATGGTGGTTATACTATACTATTTTTTTTATTTACATTTTTATCATATTTTAAAAACGGAAGCTTGTGTACTAAACCGTACAAAAACACAGATATGAAGGTGCTTATGATATTGATATTAAACTACTAATTTAAATATTAAATAATAACGGAAACAATAAACAATTTTATTATTTAGATTTTCTAATTCTGTTTTGTTTTTTATGCAGTTTTTTTTATATCAAGATATATTTTATATATGGCCATTTTAGATGTATTAATAATATATGTTTTACTCATTTTTTATATTTACTAATTTTCATCAATTTTAATTGTTTTTTTAAAACAAATGTGTATGATACATTATTCCGATGAACACACGAATATTGATATGAGTATCAAAAATAGATATTTGTAATAATACTTACATAAAATATATTTATTTAGGTAAATAATATTTAGTTGTATAATTAAAACAATATTTATAAATATTATAAAATTGTTTGATATTTATAAAACTAAATAATTACAGAAATTTTTATAAAAATTTCAAACCGATGTATCTGTGGGTATTTATTCTTTTTTTTTAAATATAAAATAAAAAAAATTTAATTATTATTTTTTATTAATTCTACTTTTTTTTTTAATTTTAATTAAAAATAAATACGCGTCACCGACGAATATTTCATTAGTTATATATATATATATATATATATATATATATATATATATATATATATATATATATATATATATATATATATATATATATATATATATATATATATATATATATATATATATATATATATATATATATATAAAAGCCATATGTCCTATGCTAATAAATAGTTGATTTAACAGCTTTAGTGGTTAAATAAAATATATAAATAAAAGAAAAGGAATATAACTTTTACTAGGTTAATATTAATACTAAATAATGATGTATTTACAATGAAGAAGAAATGGTCAATTCGAAAAGAATAACTACACTAATTGATCGGAGGAATGATTAAGTCAAGTATCTTACCAACCCAACCGAAACCGAATACATGAAAGGCAAAGTATATCATGTCAGTCCACTGCAATACCCTAAAACGATATGCCACCATATCACACGTGTATACAACAATAAACCTACGTTACCACGTGCCCCCTCACTAAACTTCCCCATTTTTCCAACCTCTCTGTTTTTCCTCTGTTTCTCATGAAACACAGAGGATAGAAACTCCTCTTCTCCTTCTTTATTCATTATTCTTTCTTTACAACTCAAGTTTTCATTTTCATGGCATTTTCACTTAGGACGAAGACGTTTTCGTTTACAGAAGGAGAATCTCCACTTCAATCGTTCAACGAGATTCTTTATCTAGATCAATGGCAGAGTAGCATCTACTATACCCTATGTGCCGCTTACGCAACCGTTTCCTTCATTGCACTTGTACGTAATTTTCATTCAAAATCTTAGATCAACTACTCTGAAAACTAAAATTTCACAAACGAATTGATAATCATGTTTTGTTTTTGTTTGTTCAGATACAACTGGTGCGGATTCAAATGAGAGTGCCTGAATATGGTTGGACAACGCAGAAGGTTTTTCATTTGATGAATTTTCTCGTCAATGGAGGTAAACAGTCACGAATCATCTATTATTATAACGGGCTAAAATATGAGTTACCACTCTTATACTATAAAGGACTTACACCAGAAACACAACACCGACTCGTCGACACACCGTGGTCAAAGCTCTTATATATACAATATTAAACTCATTTATATTTTTGTATCACATTTGCAGTGAGGGCTGTTATTTTTGGTTTGTACGACAGTGTTTTCGCAATTAAGCCAAAGGTACTTTCACGTCTCAAATCTCTATACCTTATTTTCGAATCATGTTCTAACTTGTTATGTTATGTTATTATATGTTATGTTCTAGGCATTTGAACAGGTGTTAATGGAAGTTCCTGGTCTTCTGTTTTTCTCTACTTATACATTGCTGGTGTTGTTTTGGGCAGAGATATATCACCAGGTATATTAACATTCTTTTAAAGGAGTTCAAATAACACTAATTATTAATTTTGCTTTAAGTTTATGTGCCTTAAATATATTTCAGGCTAGAAGTGAACCTGCACAAAAGCTTAGGCCTGCTTATTTTTCAATAAATGGAGTTATTTACTTCATACAAGTAAGTGTGCATGTTTGATTTCTTTATCCATTATTTTCTCTTATTCTTTTCATCATGGTGTTTATAGATTTGCCTCTGGATTTATATGACTGCAAGCAAAACTGCCACCGGCTATGGAGCCGCTAAACTCTTCCTTGCAGGTTATTTCTATTTACATTGTTTTAGTCTTTGATACTATACATATATTGGAGAATACTATGTGCTTTTTTCCTTGTTCAATAGTTGTATGAGATTGAAAACTTTGTTTTAATGTTGATTTGCAGTTATATCATTTTGTGCTTCTCTTGGATTTTTGTTGTATGGTGGAAGGTATACATGTACTGTCATCTTTCAAATGGATCCATTCTTGTTACACAGGTAACACTAACATGTTCATGATGATCTAGGTTGTTTTTCTTATTGAGGCGCTTCCCCATTGAATCGAGAGGTCGTCAAAAGAAGCTTTACGAGGTTTGTGTCTAAGTATGAAACCCCTTTGGTCTTTTGTTATAAGCAAAAGTAAATATTACGTGTACTTAGTCAAACAGATTCATATTCGTTTTAAGTTTTTGGATGTCATGTATAGTTTAGTCATAATAGGTAAACCGTCACAAATCTACTATGAGGTTTTATTTAGTCATGATTTAACCGTGACAGATTTTGGATTGTTTGCTTAAATGTTGTTGATTCCTAATATTTTTCTTCTTGGCAGGTTGGATCAGTAACAAGTATTTGCTGCACATGTTTCTTGATAAGATGTGCTTTGGTAAGATTCTTTAGGTTTGAAACTAAGTAATATAAATATGTGAAGATTTTGTTTTTTTTTTGTTCTTTTTTTTGTTTTTGACAAGATCTTGGATTTTATGTAGCTTGCTGTTTCAGCATTCAATGAGAAAGCAGATCTTGATGTTTTGGATCATCCCATACTTAACTTAATGTATTATTTGGTAAGTTTCTAGATACATCATTCTTCATATGGAAGCTGGTTGAGAAATGTTTGACATCATGATTATGATGATGATGAAGTGTTATTGAAATTGAATGGTTTTGTTTTCTTGATTATTTTGTGGTGCAGTTGGTAGAGATTGTTCCATCAGCATTGGTGTTGTTCATTCTGCGAAAGCTTCCTCCAAAACGAGTTTCAGATCAGTATCACCCTATTAGATAATTGTGTATTTAGTTTAAATTCTCTCGGAAATATTTAACAATCTCTTTCATTTTATTTTATTTTATTTATTACCCTCGTTTTTAATACATCTTTTCATCTCTATGCTCCACAATCTTTTCATGACTATTCTGTATATTCATTGATAATTTTATCGTCCTTCAAAATAGATAGATGCATATGTTTAACAAACTTACACTTTTTCTTTAGAAAATGATTGATTTATTGATTTATAAGTATGAATAATTTGTTGATACATTCAAATACAAATTTGTTGATAAGGTTGAATCTTGAACCGAGTTAATGAAGGAAAAGGTTTTTTTTTTTAAGCAAATCCAAAACCAATATATTCAAAAGGAAAAAGGAACCAGGGTAAAAAAGGGACCAAACCAAAACGAATTTGAAATTCTAAGTTTAGGCTTTTCTGACTTGTTACACAAGAAATCTCTAGATATGCTATCATGGATGTTGTTAAACCATGTGTATTTCTTAGAAGCAAAACCATGACTAGCAAGATTATCTGCACAAGTGTATTCTTTCCATATGAGTAACATTGAAATCCATTGAGTGAGTGTGACATAAGCAGTTCAACCATTTATTGGAAATGGATCTAAGTCAGGAAAAGCCAAAATGAGATTAAGCGGCAGAGACCAATTGTTGTTGACTATGAACTTGCTAACATATGAGTAACATTGAAATCCATTGAGTGAGTGTGACATAAGCAGTTCAACCATTTATTGGAAATGGATCTAAGTCAGGAAAAGCCAAAATGAGATTAAGCGGCAGAGACCAATTGTTGTTGACTATGAACTTGCTAACATGAATTTTGAGAGAATCGTGATAAGAACCAGAAACATTGTATTTCTAAACCAGAGGTATAACACACTAGGAGTTTAACCATAAGTTTATATCTTTGTCATTTCTAACAATTCAAGAAGAGTTATCAAAAATGGTATTAATGTGGTTTTATAAACTACTCCATAAGGAGGAGAAAGTATGGTGTCGGATAGCCTTGCCATTTCTTAATAAAATTGCATATGTACATAACAGTTTATTTTTTATGCTTTCTTTATTGTATTTTTATCATATTTTGAGATTTCTCGATGACCTTCACACCACACACAGAAAAAATAATAGTTTTCTTACATGATGATTGGACTTAATTTAACCTTAAATCAATTATTTGTGACTCAATTCAAAATGTCAAGATTGCTTGAATCAATTCACAGAAGGTTGTGAATCGACTTGAAGAGATTTTTTTAATTTATAACCTATTATGTTTGTGGAAATTGGTTCACAAACTTGTTTGAAGTGTAAAAGATGTTTGTGGAAATTGGTTCACAAACTTGTTTGAAGTGTGAAAGATATTTATTCTGGACCGACTAAAGGTCTAATTCATCTCAATTTTATTCTATTTGACTCAATGTATAAAAATAGTTCACGTCCTAAGAGTAAGGAAGAATCTGTAATCTCTATTTTTATTATATTCATCTTGAATCTTAAACTGATTTGGACTTTTGAGTGTTAATCATGTAGGTTCATCCTGCATTACCGTAAAAGAGATTGGAGTCATCGTTCAAAATCCCTATTTATCCAACAATCTTCATTTATAATTTCTTCGTGGAACTATATCATTCATTTCTTGTTCCCAAACAGAAGAGTGAAATTGTATGTGGAAATCGACTTATGATTCTTATAATTTCTGCGAAAATCATGTTTGCTTCACAACACCATTGAGAAAAATCGACGTTTTAAGTCTGGATTCTCACAGTTTCATATCCAGATATCTGATTTATAAGTTCGTAATCTTCTTAGGTTACCAAATTGGAAATTCATTCAACTTTCGATTCCAACGGTTTCCACGAAGCCACGTTCACATTTTAGTTTCATCATTCATAGTCATGTCAGATCTCATAATTATGAAACGCTCATAAGCAAAACTAGAGATCTATCATAATCAGTCTAATTGGTCATATTTTCAACAACGATCCTTTGAAATTCAGATCTTCAATTCTCTCAGAAACTCCACAAAGTGATAAAAGGAAAAGAATTTGAGAGTCGGACTTTGGGTTTCTCCAAGGTGCAAAAGCTATGTCCATGAAGATCGCCTCAAGAATTTGCGGTTCCACCTTTGGTCTAACATCGCTAGGGTTTTTGATCCCAACCGGGGTACTTATTATAGCAACCTAGAAGGTACTTAAAGTTCGTAGTTAACATCGCGCAGAGATTAATTCTAAGGCACCTTCTATAGGTACCATTGAATATCTGGACAATCGACGACCTACCTCATGTCAAATCTGCTGTCCTTATTGCTTGTCCCAAACTTATTAACAAAGGTTGGCCTGAGGTCATCAGATATGGAGCAGGGAAATCCAAGCATATCGGGTGAAAGTGAAAAGGATACAACGACCATAGTCTCCAGAAGAAGAAACCCTGGATATCGGTATCCTCATTCGATAATCGTACAAATTTAATGCATCTATACAATTATAATACGACTTAAATGCACTGCCTGTATAAATATGTATCTAATACAAATTTAATGCATCTATGAAATTTTAATTCGACTTAAGCACATTTCATGCCCTATTGCATATACAGACTTAATGTATTTATGCAATTCTGATATGGCTTAAACGTATACCTCGCATATGAGGCTTATTAAATGCACTTCTATGTAGCTAGCGCACTCGCGGATATAGCCAATAATAGGGCGTGTGTGGTGGAGTCTAGAGACGTCCAACTCGATCCGAGCCAAGCCTCGAGGGCAGGGTCAATAATTTTGCCTTTGGCCAAGAAGCAGTCCTCTGTGTCACGGACCACAGTACAATGTATGACTACATGACTTTGACTCCACCGATTCCAGACCTCGTCCTGGGGAACACAAGCAGTTCCCTAAATGCAACATACAAATCAGTACACTACTACAACAAACGCTAAGTACAACAAGCAAGTATATCTGAAAGCTCCAAGAATTTGACTAAAATTTGGTAAAACATAATGTTGAACAAGATGTTCTACTTTGAAGAAATATGCCTCAGACCAAAGATGTCGAATGAGATGTCCCAACATGAAGACTCAACATCCTGGACTGACTCAACATCCTGGACTGACTCAACATGTTTTGTTTTTAAATTTGTTCCAAGATTCAAACGCGTTTAGCAGTGGATCAAGGAAAGAAGATTTGAAGCCCAAGGAAGCAGAAGACTATAAAAGGAAGACATAGACCTAGGACTGTAAAAAACTAATCTCTTGTAATACATGTAAAAGGAAATAAGGGTTTAGATTTTGAAAGTCGTAGAATTTTCTTGTGTTGTAAGTCTTCCTTTGTATCGGTTGGATACATTATGGCAGACATAGATGTTTATACAAATTCAGAAACCTGTAGGTAATGAATCGTGTATTGTTCTTGGATGAAACTTTGAAGCAAATTCAAGTAGGTTTGCTAGTCAAGGTTGCTTGATTGAACTTTGTATTGAAAAAAAGTGTCTTTCAAGTAGGATGATATTCTGCAAATTTACAATTCAGTATTTGCCTTTTGATTAACATGTTGTAAAAGATGTCGAAACATCTGTTGTACTTCTGTTGCTGATATTCAGAGTATTAACTTGAATAATTTGCTTGTTATGCAGAGACTACTCAGAAAGAAAAGATTTATTTACAACGAGTGAAGATCCTTTTTATTCTTGAAAGGAATGAAAAGATTCTTCATTAATGTTTTGGATGTGTAAGTGTTCATAAATACTCAATTATGTAAGCACTTTAAAAGTATATTTCCATGCCAATAATGGAGAGATCCTCACCCATTATATAATAATATACCACACGAAAACAGTAACCTGAGCTATTTTGGTGATATTTAAAGATGTAAACAGTTGGAGCAAAAGCAAAACTCAAAATAAGATTAAGAATTCAAAAATGATAAATTAACAACTACAGAAACATTCAAAAATCAAAACCCTATGTTATATAAATATCAACATATATAAAATCAACACATGTCTAGATTTCAGTATAAGAACGGTCAATCTGAATTGATATTCTAGTTTTCACAATCTATTTATACCCAGCCTAGGATCCAACTAGTTTTTGGTAGAAAACCTGACAGCCTAGAATCCAAGCATTTCTGATTGTTATATATATCTACACCATGTAAGATGTTTCCCATGCAAAGATAAAACTGATGGGCACATCTATTAACAGAAGAAAAGAAAAAAAAACAGACACCACAAAAAATCAATCGAATGCTATAGGCAGGAAATTATCATCATCTAAAAGCATGTCAATATCAATCAAATCCGCCACACCATCAACTGCTTCTTCCGAATTCATCAAACTTGAATTACATGGCTGCTATATTAAGATAATAAAAAGAAATGTCATTAAACCAAAAATATTGGTTAATCTTAACCATAACATAAGACATGTTAGAAAATACCTTTTGACGGAAATCATCTACTACATTTAGCAGTCGTCTGTACTGAGCCCGAGCTTCTGGATACTGAACCATGGACTGAACCCTTGAAAGGGCCTTTTGGAACCTTTCTTCACTCTGTTTCCTCCCTTCCTTGAAAAAATCATAATCATCCTCCTTCACAATATCTTGGTTTGGTTGGTTGGGGACATTATTTATGGCATCTGGTCGAAATCCACGTAAACCACTGCCCTTACGCCTCCACCGTAATATAACCTTCTCCAGGATTCCCACAGACCAAATGATTGGTTTAAACTTCTTTCTTACCTGGTGACCTCTTACGTGGGCCTTTAACACCATGGATTTAAAGTCAGTATATGGATGTATCAAATGTTTAAGGACAAATAATAAGAACGAAGAAAAAGGAAGAGTTCTATCTATGATCTATGGATGAACTCAGCCCCTAGCCTTCTATGGCAACCAGGCTGAAAAGCACAAACATATATAAAATAAAAAGACCATCTAGAAAAGAGAGCAGCTGGATGAACCTGGATTTTAACAACTCTTTCACGAATGAACAAGAATTCTTTTCTCTTTGTCCAGCCACGGAACTTTTTCTGTATTTGTACTGCAGCAGCATTTGCTGAACCTTTCCCATGAGTAGATTTGCAAGCCTTAGAAGCTACAAGAGAAAGAACCTGCTGATCTGACAATCCAAACTCATCATCATCGTTATCGTCATACTGAGCTAACTGCTTTCTTTGAAATGATTGCATTCTATATACTTGATGTATTCTATCAGCAGCTTGTGTAGCATTGCGGACAGCATCAAGAGAATCCTTAAGGCAGATAACATCTGGTATATCTCCCCAGAGCACAGGTGTCGCAATTCGTTCTGAAATCGTCTGTACGACTTTCTTTTCTTTTGTACCATCATCATTTGCATCAGCCACTGTTAGTGATTCAAGGTGGCTAGTTAATAATGACTCGGCAAGAAAACCCGAAATTCCTTTGTGGCCACAGCTAGAAGCAAGATCTGCAGGTGTTCTTCCTGAAGGGAATGCTGGACATGGATCCGTCAATGCTCCAGCATTTGCACCCATGGAGACAAGGAGAACAACTGTTCGTTCCCTGGGCATATATAACAACTAATTAGCATAAAGAACCGATTCATGTTATGCTAGATGAACATTATATTACAGTTTCAAAAAACAATATGCTTAAATTAGGCTTCTTATAATATTGAGGGATTAATCAACCCGCCTTTAGCATACAAACCAATGTATTTTTTCAAAAATACTTTTGAACTAATTTACATTCACATGCATGAAAAACCCACTCTGAACTAGATATCAAATCAAAATAGTGTGTATTTTATTATGTACATTTGTGTGTATGATTTACAAATAGGCCAGTGGTTGAAATTTCCGTATCCCCTAATGGCTCATATGCAATCAAATCTAAAATTCTAAAACACCAAAAAAATGGAGAAAGGCAATGTAGGAAAGGAAGTTTCAATCAAAAAATAATTGCAGCATGCAAAATCTATTAAAAACAACAAAGAAAATATATTGGGTCCTTACCTGCCACATGATGCAGCCCAGTGTAAAGCAGTCCATCCATTCACATCACGGAAGTTGATATTAACTCCAGAAATTACAATTGGTGCTATGGCCCAATCATAACCAAGAGCAGCAACTAAATGTAATACACTTTGCCCATCTTTATCAATCACATGAGGTCCTTTACCAGTTTCAGTTACTTTGTGAAGAAGCCATGAGAACAACTTTTCCTTAACCTGCCTGTGAAACATATGCATCTTCAACATGTATTTTGATATATCCACCTCTCCTGTTGGCTCTTCATTACTGGAATATTCCTCTTCCTCTTTCAGTGAAATAAGCTTAAGAACCAAGTTCCGTTTCTCCATATCATCCTCAAAAACTTGATCTGAAAGATTCACTGAATTCGAAGTAAGTAACTCTTCTAGTTGCAAATGAAGCATCATTTCAGTAGAGCTGTTAAAAAAATCTGCCAAATCTACATTTCTAGTGAAGCCCTCTCTAAACTCAAATTCCCTAACTTCACTACAAGCAAATCTATTGGAAAAGGTTACATAGAAAGGGATCCGTCCAATCTCATGAGGTGGAGCTTGACAGCATAGAATTCCATTAGCTAAAACCGTAGCTGGAACTTCAACTTCCCCAAACATACAGGACCAGTTACATGTTTCCACATTTGGTTTACTCTTCAAAAAAGTTCCAATAATCAATACCTGTATGGTTTTGAGTAAGACATGTCATTAGAATTAGAATTCGTGTTGTAGCAGAAACCGGCAGAAAAAAGAGTAAGAAGACTGTTATCATGTATAAAATTCTAAAGCAAACTGAAATCATCAGAATACAATCATGAAATACAAAGTAATTATATAAGTCAGGAAAAGTCCAAATATGAAAGAATAAAAAAACTATAGGCATCTGACCAGAACAAAAGTTGAATAAATAAACAGAGTATCAACTTAGATCTGAGATTCACATAACTACATACTTTTTAGGCAACAATTTCATGTTCTGAGGTTTCTTCTTTTATTGGATATATGCTGGGATTAAGTAATTAGTTGTGTGCATATCTATTGCATGTAATTTGTTTCACTTGATAAGTACCTGAATTTCTGATTCAGCATAAGCCCATTTAGGTGAAAAATCATGTATGCTAAACAGCTGGTCCTGAGATAGAGAAAGGTTCAATGACGTATCATCTATCACATTCCCACATTCATCTGTGCCCCATGGAATACCAGGGGAAGACTGCGTGTGCAGATCATCCGCCGATGCAAATGCTGTAGACATCCACCTAGAGAAGCTATCAACCTTAATCAGGCTTTCTTCTGGATTCATAAAAGCGCGCTTCACGTTCAAGGAATAGTTGACACTGGGTTCGCCATGACTTTCAAAGTCAGATTTCGGTGCATCCTGAGATTGTGCATGCTCATTTGACATGTTTTGCTGCACAGGCTGCTCTTTTGCTTCACAATTAAAATAAAATGGGTCCGAACAAATTTCTGGACTTGAATTATTAGTTTCTTTTCCCATTAGTTCAGCGGAATAATCAGATTCAAATTCCGAAGTCAACGATTGAGTAAAGCTCCATTTAGGAAATTCTCCTGTATTGTCTTCAAAAGGAATCTGGATCAACAATTCAAATAACAAAATGGAAATAGTTATTTATTTTTGCTAAATCTCAGAAACCAGTGTTGGTAGATCAAATATAAAGCTCACTCGAGATCATTGCACTGAAGATATCACTAGCAGTAACAGTAAGTACCTGCCAATTTGATTGGAGAGACTGTGAGGCTCTTCCTTCAGTAAAGACAGCATGTTCTTGTTCAAGGAAGTTGCTCATTGAACTTGATGGAATAGAATTAGACGATACAGCGGAAGGATCAGTATACAATCCTGCAGATTTCTCCATGCCATTGTCCCAGGATCCTATGTTGAGTGCTGTCTGACCCTCGATGTATCTAGTATCACTAGGATTGGATTTACCCCCTTGAATAAGTGGAAGGTAATTTGGTCCTGACATCGATAACTGGCCATGATCACCTAAACATTAATGTTAAATACAAGTTACAAAAATCATTATCTCACACCAAAAAAAGGACAAAGTAACCTGAAAAGTGATGTGTAAGATATGAATTATTTGAATGAGCATCAATCTTACCCATCAGTGGACCATTCCCCAGATTTTGCGACTCGTGAAAGGTGTGAAATCTCGGGCTTGCTTGATGAGTATCCTCTGGGAAGTAATTCGTTTAAATCTTTTAGCAGTGATCAAATGAACCAAACTATTATGTAATTACACATGCATATGCAATTATATGTCGCAATAGTGTATTGAGATATTTAAAGCGTTGGCATATTTAAATCAGATTATAAGGATCATGTTTTATAATGTATCATCAATTAGATACTAAACCAGAATTACCTGAATCTGCTTCTTCACATAATGAAGTTAATGTGCTTGTTGGGCTCATGGAATCTGCACTTCCTGAAGGCATGTTAACAGAATTTGCAGGAAGTCCAGATGACACAGAGCTCCCGTTCTGGGAATCTGATGTAACCCCGTTAGTATCTGTACTTGCACCAATATTTGTCTTGTTAATCTGAAAGATAAATAACCCATCAAGGATCTATTAATAAATTATTACAGTTACCTTCACAAGTTTTCTTCCTGATTTCAACAAAATTATCAATAATTAAGATAGAGTTCCTTCACTTGTAGGAAGGTAATTTCATAATTTAGCAGTATAAGGAAAAAAATAGTGTGATACTGAGAGAGATGGGTGATGAGTGGAAGCCCGAAAGAGTGAATGAGGAAGAATACTAATCAATGAGTTGAAGTGAGAAATGATGAAATTTTTAAGGATGAAGAAACTCAATTGACTTGGCTCGAGCTACTAGATGCCATACATTAACAGGTTAAAGCTACACCAGTATCAAAACGAAACTATTATACTTGGCTTGGTCTAGTGTGGTGTGATGTAACAACTCAGACTCAAGACCGTTTCTATTTAGTCATACTTTCAAATACTACTTTTATCAAGCAAGACCGTTTCTATTTAGTCACACTTTCAAATACTACTTTTATCAAGCAAGAGAATTAGATGTTCCCTCCATTCAGTTTGAGGGAAACTTAGGATAAAGAAACCCAACACTGACTTGGCTTGAGGTACTAGATCCCATGCATTCACAGGTTAAATTAAAAGTGAAAATTAACAGAACCAACCTAAGTATAGGTATACTTGGCTTGCTCGAGCGAGGTGTGATGTGACAACTCAGATTCGTGATCTTTTACATCTGGTAATACTTTCCAACACTAATTTTATTAAAGAAATTAATCTTTTTTTAAAATATAAAGTAATATGCTATTAAGGGTAACAATGTTTTCTAGTCTAAACGTAGACCAACTCATGAGAAAGAAAAACCCCATAAAAATACCACCATAATAACAACATTGTAAAATAAATAAAAGAATAAAAATACCTTTACATCCAAGTAGTGGACAAATACTATATGCATCATATCCCTGCAGCAAAACAATTATTCAGAAGACCATTTGCTGATTAATTTTAAGAAAAATACAAAACATCACAGTAAACTTCATTGGAAACTTGAAAACTTGCTAACAGAAAACAGTTCAAACTAAATATTATATAGTTACGATAATTGACAATTCAAAATGCACCAATGCAGTACTTGGAAGCTCGGCATGCAGCTGCCATGTGAAATGTTGATGTGCTGTGATTGAAGGTACTCATTACACAAAATATTAAAATGTAAAATATGTCACCATACTCACGGTTCAAGCATCCAATAGCTTCGCCTCTGAAAATTTTCATTCTCTTCTCCATGGGCATAGTAGCAGTGTAACACATCAACACTTCCCACCTATATTCAAAGATATTACAATAACAGCAAATCATTACTTAAATGCAGAAAGATTGATTTTACAATTAGAAAATATTTGATAAAATAATTCAAGTCATCTTATGTGCGTCACTCACAAAGCTGTTAGTAAGCATAGATTAAAAACCAAGGTAAATTCCGTGATTACCTTCAACTTTTCGTGAGCTTCCCTCACAGTTTTTCCATCTTTCTTCTTTCTCCAATTGTGTCCATCCTTTCTGAAGTATCTCAAAACCTTCCGATCAAAAAGAAAAAGTGATCCACCTGAACTCATGAAAAATACATGTCAAAAATTACTCTGAGGACATGAAGTGACATTGCAGGCAAAAAAATATGAACTGAAGTCAACTATGAAGAAAAACATTAGCATAACCTAAAAATTAATAATAGCACTCTACAAACAGCATGGAAGAATTTCTGATGTGAACTTAATACGTGCCCTTTGCCTAGATAGAAGTGATCATATTTTTTAACTGAAATATATAGTCAGAATGTATTTAAGTTAAGACAACGAACAATTAGAAAACTCTACAGAATTACAAGGAAGACGGCCAAGTACAGCCTCCATGATTGGCATCTAGAAGGTTGTCAAGAGAACATCCAAAATACACAGTTGCAACAAACAATTGATGGAGGACTATTGACTTTAAGCTTCTTAACTCTTAAGCAATTGTACCAGATATATTGATAAGACTCAAAAAGGCGGTACTAATAAGTTAAACATAACATCTTGTCAAATAAATAAATAAACTAAACATAACATAAAATAGTCAGAAACCATACTCGGTGGCTTGTTAGGCGATTCTGGTGTGATTTGAAACAACTTAAAATTACTAAGAATTTCCAATATTTCTGCAGGACGTAACCACCGATGCTGGGCTTCAAACTGTAACTGCTGAATGTCTGCACATTGATAAATAATTAAATATAGCATCAATTTAGATATTTAATCACTGTACTACCACATACACAGTCACAATAGTGTATACAAACTTCAAAAGTGTAACCATTTATCTGTGCTGCTAATAGGCGAGCTCAAATATCATATGCAAAGCAAATCACTACAAGCACTAATTGCAAATTTGCAACAAACACCTATTAAATTAAATTCCTATTAAATTTACATTATCATATTTTGAGACAAAAATATCTTTATTCTACAGTTAAAAAATAGTTCATTAAAGTTAATTTATAGTCAAGCCATTCACATTAACAAATGCGCAGTCACTAGGCTTCTTCATTGTCTCCAATTAAATCTAATTGACTCAACAAAATAATTCAAAACCCTAACTAAGCCTCAGAAACAAAGCAAACTAGATTTTCAAAAATAAAATCACAGAACATGCAATCAAAATTTCACATAGCAACAAGAAAAACGAAATCAGTATGAAAAAAATGAAATCATAGAACATGCAATCAAAATTTCATATAGCAACAAAAAAACGAAATCAGTACGAAAAAAAAATTAAAGAAGCTAACCTAGTCGAGGAGCCAGTCCGTGAGAAGCACGCTCCGCCATGGCGAAGACTGAAAAATCCGAGAGAGAGAGAGAGAGAGAGAGAGAGAGAGAGAGAGAGAGAGAGATTTACGCGGAAAGGGATACACTATATCTCTGTCTGAATCTGAAGAATACACCGACTTTTTTCTCACTTTACGTTCTTTTCGCTCTTTCCAGTCAGCTTCTTTCTTCTCTTCTCTGACACAGTGACGTAGAAGACGTTATGGATTGCTCATGACTCTTCCTGGTCCAAATTGAATTGATTATGGTAATCCCCAAAATACCTTTTTATTTCACCCAATAACTGTTTGACGCGTGGATGGTTGGTGGAGCCATCGGTTTTTTTTAAACACGTGCATCATTCCGATCTTGATTATTGTATAAAAAATAGATTATTCACAGTATATTTTTATTTTTAATTTAATACTATTAATTACTCATTCCATTTTTTATTATAAGTTGTTTTTTATTTTTCATATCTATTAAGAAATTTAATAGTTGTAGTATGAAAAAGATAAATTATAAATGATTTTACAAAATTATTCTATTATAAATTTTTACATAATTAAAAAAAGAGAGAACAATAAATATTTAAGAGTATAAATGAAAAAATAACATTAAAATATTATAAAGTGATTTATAGTGTGTTACAATTTTTTTTTAATTAATATACATTAATATGTAATAATGATACCTTATTAAAATAATGTTTATCTGTTTTCATTTATACATTTTTTTTATTTTAGAGTTCTTTTTTGACGGCTTTTTTTTTTTATTTTATCTTAGCTTAGCTTGATCAACTTAAATATAATTTCTTCTAGAAAAGTACACCAAGTTGGTACCATCTTTTTCCTCAAATAAATGATAAAAATTTCATACCACCTTCACCATTTACTCACTCCTAGGCTTTGGAGCAAGGGGATATTTGTTGTATATAAAAAACTATAAACATAAAGGTTTAAAATATTAAATGTTTTATAAAAATATTTTAAGGTTAATTTTATTTTATAAACTATTGGTAAGAAAATAAAATAAAAATATATTAGACTAGAGAAAAATAATAGATTTAATAAAACCGAAAAACAATAAGAGATAAGATAGAGTTTAAAGTGAAAGATTTATTTTTTTATGCATTATTTTTTTAGTGTATCACATTGAAAAAATATTTTATGAACCGAATATTATTGATATTAATATAAATTTAATTAAAATATAGCATCAGTATAAAAGAATTTTACACAATTAATAAATCATAAATATTAGATGTTGAACACAATTTGATTTTTATTTTAACTCTATATAAATAATACAAAAATAAATGATGGTGTAAAACCTATAATAATTAATCTCTAATAATATTGTTAGATTTAATATATGGGTGGATCACATGTGACACTGTAATATATTAAAAGTTTGCTTGGACAAGATAAGTGATATAATAAAATAATTATATTTTATTTTATTTCAATTTATTGTTTCTTTAACATTAACATATTTTGATATGTTAATTCTAAATTTTGTAGTCGATATTATTATTTTAAATAAAAGTAGAGTTAAAAATCAGTAAATAGAAAAAAAGTTATTAAATTATTTTTATAAAATATAATTTCAAATATAAAAAATTGAATTCAAATAAAAAATAAAAAAATTGATATTAATTACAAATTTAATAATCAACTTTTAAAATACGAAAATACCCTTTTATTTTCTACTAAAATATATATCTTCTCTCTCTCTCTCTCTCTCTCTCTCTCTCTCTCTCTCTCTCTCTCTCTATATATATATATATATATATATATATATATATATATATATATATATATATAATCTTACCTGATCAGAAAGGAATCAGTGATCTCTCACGCGTTGTTGATCTACTAGTTGTTCACCGAAGGTATAAAAGAGGAGGGGGTGTATCTGAAACACATTCTGATGTCAAAGTAAGTGACGAGCAGAGTGGGAGCAAGTACAGAGAGAGTAAGAGAGTTAAGTTACTTGACCCTATAGTGAAGAGGGTATTTATAGTGAGCCCCTAGCGCAGGGCCAACGGTTACACTACGCCAGAATTGACATTTAGCAGCGCATACAAAGACAGCGCTTTTAGTAAAAGCGCTGCTAAAAAGGAATTAAAAAAAAAAAGAAAAAAATTGATAACCAAAGACAGCGCTTTTTCAAAAAGCGCTGCTAAATGGGGGTCCTAAGACAGCGCTTCTAAAAAGCACTGCTAAAAGGGGGGTTTAAGACAGCCCAAAGACAACGCTTTTTAAAAAGCGCTGCTAAAGGGGGGGTCCTAAGACAACGCTTCCAAAAAGCACTGCTAAATGGGGGGTCTAAGACAGCCCAAACACAGCGCTTTTCTAAAGCGCTGTTGTAGGTCTAGTCTACGAGAGCGCTTTTTCCATAAAGCGCTGCTATATGGGGTACATAAGAAGATCTTTGAGAGCGCTTTTTAAAGCGCTGCTAAAGCCATTAAAAAGCGCTGCTATAGGTTTAGTTAGAATTAATTTAAAATATCCACCAGAATTTTTATGAGAAACAGAACAATCATTACGTATTTCTTTCTTTCTTTTTCTCTGGCGAACAAAGAACGTTGCCCTATAAACCCACCGTCGTCGTCCAACCGTCGCCCTCCTCTGTTGCATTTCGCCGCCGTTCACCGTTCCTCTGCTCGTCTGCATTGCATTTCCGACATTGTTACAGTATTTGAAGTTTTACTTTGGTTTTCTTTTTTACGTATATTTTCACCATTGTTGCTGTAATCTTTAAGTAGAACTGAATATGTTTTTATTATTTGAATGCAATCAAGTTAAGTAGAACTGAATATGTTTTCACCATTGTTGTTGTAATCTTTAAGTAGAACAGAGAGTTTTTATTTGAGAGTTTATATGAGAGTTTATATTTGAGAGTTTATATTTGAGAGTTTATAACCAGAATCAAGTTAAGTATTTGAACTGAATATGTTTTCTACAAGAGTTTATATTTTTTTAAGAGAGTTTATATTTTGTATGTTTTAAGAGAGTTTATAAGAGAGCTTTGTTTGTGATAACTGTTTGGTCATGAAAATGCAATGTTTCGTTGTTTGTTTATGTATGGTGTCCTCAAAGTTTTATTAGAGTGGGTGAGCAATATTAATTAATAGTTGTTAATGATAATAATTTATGGATAACAATCATAGAGTAAAGTTAGAGTAGAGTGTGTGTAAGGACCAGTTTCTTTAATACTACTTTATACTTAAGAAAAAAACAACTTTATTGGGTTGGTGGTTAGAATTCTTGAAAATAAATAGAAAATGACAGAAAGGAAGAAAGAATAATTAAAATGTGGATAAGAGATTTATATGTTTTTATGTTAAGTCTCTCTGTTGAATATGTTTTTAAGAGAGTCTATTTTTTTAAGAGAGTTTATATTTTGTATGTTTTAGATTGACAAACAGGAGTTTATATTTTGCATGTTTAATATAGTTTGGAAATTCCTATTTTTTAAGAGAGTAGCCAATATGAATATGGTTTTATATGATATGGTTTTATATGTTATATATTATGGTTTTATATGTTTAGTTAGGATTTCTCAATGTTTAGTAAGGGTGTCATTTTGGTTTAAGGATTATCTAGTATTTTTAATATGATTTATTTTGGTGGATTATCTAGTATTTTTGTCTTGGTTAATTATTAATATGATTTTAATAAAATTTATATTTTGTCTGCTATAGGGGTTACCTGTGAAGAGCAAAGTTGTGATCGTTTCTAAGCATCCTATTGCGTAACATTCTTAGAAGTTAGTGATTTCCTTACAGGTATTCTCTGTTTTGTTTAACTTTTATAGTTTAGTGTAGATTACTCAATTAGTATGGATAAAAAATGGATGTCTGGTAATCGATTGTCAAAAGAGTACGAGAATGGGGTATCGAAGTTCGTTAAGTTTGTTGTTGAACACGCCAAAGACCCCAGTAGGATCACATGTCCTTGCTTAGGATGTTGTTATGGGCGTCGAGTTGACGCCGTTCAGTTGGAATCTCATTTAATGAGACATGGAATTGATCGAAGTTACACATGTTGGACATTACATGGTGAGATAAGTAACGAGAATGTTGAACCCCGGAATAATACGACATGTGCTTCAAAGGACAATGGCAGGGATACATATGATTGTGATCGAGTCGAAGAGATTGCAGAAGCACTTGAAGAAGATCTTCAAGATTGTCCCAAGATGTTTGAGAGGTTGGTAAGCGATGCAGAGAAACCGTTGTATAAAGGTTGCACTACTTTCATAAGATTGTCCGCGGTATTAAAGTTGTATAATTTAAAGGCGGGTAATGGATGGTCGGATAAAAGTTTCACAGAGTTGTTAGCCTTACTTCAAGAGATGCTTCCGGAGGATAATGTTCTTCCCAATCGAACCTATGAAGCTAAAAAATTGTTATGCTCTATTGGCATGAGCTATGATAAGATACATGCTTGTCCAAATGATTGCATTTTGTTTCGAAATGAATATGCATCATTAAACGAGTGTCCTAAATGCGGTGTATCTCGGTATAAGAAAAAATTGTCACCAGCAAAAGTATTATGGTATTTTCCTATAATTCCGAGATTCAGACGCATGTTTCGTAGTGAAACAGATGCAAAACACCTGACTTGACATGCAGATGATAGAATTGTAGATGGGAAGTATCGATATCCGGCAGATTCACCACAGTGGATGAAAATTGATAATGATTATCCTGATTTTGAAGAAGAAGCTAGAAACCTTCGCTTGGCATTATCGACTGATGGAATGAGTCTGCATGGTCTGTAGAGTATCTCACATTCCACCTGGCCTATAATTATTATGATTTATAACCTACCTACATGGCTATGTATGAAGCGTAAGTACATGATGTTATCTATGTTAATTTCTGGCCCTAAACAACCAGGGAATGACATAGACGTATACCTGACACCTCTAATCGAAGACTTAAAGAGTTTGTGGGAGAACGATGTGGAGGTTTATGATGGATATAGGAAAGAAAGTTTCAATTTGAGGGC